TTAATAATTTAAAAAATACTTTATACGTTATGTAAATACTACTTAGTAGTGATCCATCGACGCTTCGCGTTCCTAGATGCCCTTTGCATTTGTAATATTACGGAAGCTCTCAGAAGGAATGATTTTATCCGACGCAATTCACAAACATGATTATATTGGAAGTTTATTTTTAAATTTTTTATTAATTGCAATAATTGAATATAAAAAAAATTATATTACTAAAAATCCTATAAAAATCCATACAGTATTTTTTCAGACTAGACCGAAAAACACAAACTCAGTATGTGTGACTTCATAATATATACGTATATTGGAAACTGTTTTCGTATACTCGTAATATATGTATGTACATATATAGCGGTTTACTTTTGAATTACGTTTGTAGTTGAAAAACTATTATAATTTATTATGATCCGCCTTCACTTTACTTAGGTCCGTTAACTCCTTGCCAAAACTGATAAAGCTCGTGTCCCTTTTACGTGGGAACCTTTTTCTTTTCCCGAGATAGAAAGTAACTTGTGTAACTTTCAGACGATTCTTTTTTCCCACGATTAAAGTCACATTAAAAATTATTTTGTTCTTTCTCTATCATTTATAATGCGAGAATCCGTAGTCAATAAGAGTCCCGTTACAATTATTTTCCGATGATTAACTGGCAGTTAATCAGACAAACTAGTGACGCACTCACGCTCTTCCCCATTCAAACTTTCGCCCTCAATGGGTGAAGATAGCATATGTACTTCTTCAACGTCCCATTTATTTCTATACCAAAACTCATCAAGATGAAGAAGATTTATGTACAAAAACAATACTTCCCTATATCAAATTTAAAAAACCATCAGTATTTTAGTGGTTGCAAAATATATTCAATCTTATAGGAAAAGAAAGGTTTACAGTTGCATTACTTTACGTTAATCAAGCTCAGTTGTAAAGACCATTTCTGAGAAAACTACAAAAATACTTTGTAGCTAGTCCTTTCTTTCTATTTCTTTTCTAGGCAATTTACACGATACTTTACTGGACAATTCACAACTGGATTTTTTTACTTTAAATACGTTAATTAGTTAGCAAATAAAAAATGAGAATAAAATTATGAACTCATCATGTCTCTAAGTAATGAATTCAGATCAAAAGAAATTACGTTTTCAAAAATAACTAAATAACTTTAAATACATACTTTAAATGCAATTTTTTGTTTATTTTTCTAATCACCGTCTTACAAGCCGTGGGTCGCTCGACTCTTGGGCTAAGCGGAGGGAATAAACAGGACCTTTATATCCGTCCCCATGATGTTTGCTATCTACGTAACTGCTAAACATAAAAATCTATTCAAAGTATAAACGTGAAAAAGTAACAGATAGACAGAGTAAGTTACATATCCTTATATGGTTACTATATCTACACTTCTATACTAATATTATAAAGAGGTAAAGTTTGTGAATTTGTGACGTTGTAGGGGGTAATCTCTGGATCTACTAAACCGATTTAGAGGAAATTTGGTAAGAGAATAGTTTGAGATCCTGGGAAGAACACATGATACTTTTTATCCCGGGAGTCATCCCTTAAGGGGGTGAAAATGGGGATAAAAGTTTGTATTGGGAAGCAAGCTAGGGATGAACTCTAGCGAAGCGAGGGTGAGTCGTTAGTAATATATACTACTAATAAAATATTTACTATCTAGAGAGAAAATATAATAACAACGTTGCAATTTTTATTAATAGTGAATATAAAATTATATCTTTTTAATATAATTTGCGTAAAAATAGCTAATTTACCAATAAGCGTGCCTATGTAAAATTTTTAGTCTTCCAAGGCGGTAAGTATTTATTTATAGCTTTCGTGCAAACACCACATAAACAAATAACTACCCTGATAAATTAGACTTATATTTAGTTTGTTGTTGCTGAGATAAGGGAATTTAATTAAAAAAAGTTGGTGGTAAATTTGTAAGTTTCACTGCGTTTACTATACCTACTGACCTATTAGAGTATTTGAAGTCACTTTTTTGCATACTGCATTTTTGCTGTATGGTCATCGTGTTAAAATAGAGGTTTGGTATCGATGATATTCAATATTGCTGTATTGTACATAAGATACTCTAAAGTCATATAGGTAGGTATAGGTAGGTAAGTATTACTAAGTAATAGCAAACACATTAAAATAAGTGTTATTAGAATATAATACAAATTATATATATATATATATATATATATATATATATATATATATATATATTATATATTATTTCTTTGAAAGTGCATTTCTGAAACTACAACTGCAAAATGTTTGAACATCAAACTCTTATTTATATAAATTGGTTTCTATAAGAAAGGCACTCTAATAACTCATTAGATATTCTCAAAACTATTTTTCTGTATCTAAATCAAAGTAGACCAAATGTTCTGGTTGCAAATAGAGAGCATTGTAGATTTTCACTTAAGTTATTTTTCAAGCAGTGAGCCCCATAAGGTTTCCCATCGGATAATGTAAACAGAAACTTAAACATCAATTCCCATATGTCTAACTTCGTAAATGATGTACTTCCTTTATATGTAGCTTCTATGCTTTTACTTGGAAATTTATCCCCATTCAAGCCCTTTAAAGAATGAATTTACAAAAAAAACCTTTGTGGATTTAGATGAAATTTGGTATAATTGTAGCTGGTTATCTGGGTCAACATATAGGATACTTTTTACCGCGGGAAAATATCTCATCTCTGAGAAAAAATACAAAAACTGCAATGTAAGAGTATACTAATATGTAAAACCTAAGAATTTGGTTTTTGGTCGTATGAACGCGAGCGGAGCTACGGGAAATGCTAGTATAGTTATATAAGGATTTACATTTCATGTTACTACAGCGGTTTGGCTGTGCGTGTGAAGGGACAGTATTTTTTAATATTAGAACGATAGTCTATAAACACAAACAATGTTGAAAATAACTCATTTATCATATTCATCGATCATCCCATTATTGTTTACTGACTTTGTTTCAGTGGAAGAAGTAGATAATAAATCTTACAAGAGCTTTAGGTGACTTATGAATAATTGCCAAGGTGGCAAATACTTGGACGACTGTCATTATTTTCTACTCTTAAGTATTTTCTGCCCATTTATTTTATATTTCTTTAAGGAAAAATATGTATTTTAATAGACAAATTATTAAAGAAGCTTCTTCTTCTTTCAATGAGATTATTTTAGTTATCTTTTCAATACGAATGAAGGCGATATAAGATTGTTTTTTCTATTTTGCAACTGCTCTTATTGCGCTCCTGAGAGCTTTTATTATCATCGTTTTAATATTTACTGATTATAAGGAAACATTTCTTTCATTTAAAAAAAGTGTTTTATTATTATTATAATAACATCTATATAATTTTACATTTTACACACGAACTTCGTGCATGTTAGTATTCCTGTAGCTAAAATAATACTACTATTAGTTAACTTTTTAAGATAATTATACTAGTTAGGCTTCGCTTTTGTCCATTTCTAAATTAAATATATTAAACACTAGCATTGCCCGTGGCTCCGCCCGCGTTCAGATGACATTGCAGTTTTTGTATTTTTTCTCAGAAATGAGACATTTTCTCGCGGTAAAAAGTATCCTATATGTTGACTAGGGTAACCAGCTATCACCATACCAAACTTCATCGAAATCCCTTCAGTGGTTTTTCTGTGATGCGGTAACAGACAGACAGACAAAAATTCTAAAAACTAAAGATTTGGACTCTGTATCGATAATAATGTCTATTTCCATAAGATTTTCCAAAAAATATTGAATGTACAGATTCGACTTAGTTACAATTTTATTATATGTATAGATAACGATGTCGCTCTCCAGACATTCATCTAACTTTATACAGTAAACCATATCAATCTTTTATTAAAACGTGTTTTCCAAAGGGAATCAAACTATTCTCGCGGTAAGACCTTTATCTCCATCCAAAAAACACCTCACTATAATAATAATTATTATGGATTTTTTTATTACCTACAATGACTAGGTAATAAGTATTTAGGTAACAAATAATATTATGTTAGTTTTAAGTTTTATATCTGAAAATTCGTATCAGGATTCAGGAATATAGTACACACATGTATGATACTAGGTATACTTGAGCGGTCTCTTTGTCTGATCGCAACATTTTTGAACCATTATTATAAATAGGTTTTTGGTTGAAATCAAAGAATATGTGTGATTATTCGAAAATTATTATAAGAAATAACAAAAAAATACAAAACGTGAAATATAAATTGCGCGCAATTTTTTTATTGCAAAAGGAAAATAAACAAAGTATATAAAAAGCTAACTAAGTGAAAATTGGACTAATGCTCTACGATCAAATAAGGTATTTTATTGTTGCAATAAAATACCTGATCCCACCAAAAACATTTTCATGTAAAATGTTGCCAAGATGAGACCATATGGCTCGCACTGTCAAAAAGGTATCAGATCTCATGTAGAGCCAAGCTTTTAACTCTACACGCTCTAACTCTACAAGCCCTAACTTTACAAACTCTATATCTTAGTCAAAATTAAGGTGAAAACTTTATTCTTTGTTCATAACTTTACTGTTATAAAATACTTCTTGTAGTAACGTCTCGCTTAATAAGTCTACTATTAACGTCATATCTCGAAATTTTGTTTATCCGGTATAATCCAAACCCAAGTTATGAGGGTTCGACAAAACGACCGATCATTTAGAGAAAAGATAGATGATTAAGTAATAACATAACAGAATATGTCTATGTTTTAGCGCAACATTTTGCACTTCCTGCGAATACGTTAAACTAAACTTATTAAAATAAACTGTTTATGTTGTATTTTCTCGAAATATCTCAAGAAAAATAACGTTGCTGTTTTAGTACGTACGTATGAAAATGTAAAGCAGAATTTCATATATCAAATATTAAAAATATAACAGTCATTAAGACCAATATTTTTGGCAACAATTCCATCGAAATATTATGTTAAAAATGATAATATTAATTTATTCATTTTGTTGTATTACGCATTGTCTTGGCGCGATGTGGTATATGATCGTCCTGATAGTCTATGCCGCCGGATATTTGGATTGACCATAACAATATTTGTTCTGGCCTGAAGAGGTAAACCTTGGAACTACCACCCAAAACGAAATACTTAGACATAAGTCTTTAGAGAAAGGATTCATATCACTTTACCTGGCAAAAAAAATAAATTTCGTTGTAAGATCTAGAGGTACAATACTGCGCACATGTGATGTGACAGAATATTGATTTGTATGTCATTTTTAATTGTCTATATTATAGATATTAGATCAAATAAGAATACATAAAAAATTACAATTTTCGAGGATATCGAATATGCGAATTGATTACCTCTTCCTTTTTCGATGTTGGAGAAATCAATAGACTATAAATATCAAGTAAGTAGTCATTTCTATTCTATTTATGTTGATATAGCTGAAAATCCTTACAAGTTTTATATATACAAAAGTGAGTCTGTTGTTTCATCGATTTGTTTATCGCTTTTTCATGAAACAGTAAAGCAAAGGGAATTTTCATCCTGGTGTATCTATCTATATATTCCCGCGGGATATTAGTCTATTATAAATTTACAAGCTATCTGTTATCGTTAGTGGCTGAATTCCGAAAGGTTTTTTTATGTAAAAAAAGGAACCGAATTGAGCCAGTTGAAATTCATTAATGTCACAATTTCTACTGTATGGTCTTTTCACATTTCATTTGGGTACGAAAATTTGTATCTTGTCTCTTTGCCTTGTATTCAGCGCTTTTTATCGTCCCACTACTGGGCACGGGCCTCCCTTCAATACGAGGGGGATCAGGCCATAGTCCACCACGCTGGCCAATTGCGGGTTGGCGGACTTCACATGTCTTTCGAAAATTTGCTAGTTTCTCTCAGACATGCAGGTTTCCTCACGATGTTTTCCTTCACCGTAAGACAAGTGGTAATCATGTTGGAAATGATTCGCACGTGAAAATATCAGAGGTGCAAGACCCGGGATTTGAACCGGCTTCACTCAGTTTTCCAAGCGAGCGCGTTACCACTAGGCTACCACTGTTTAAGGAAATCAATTCAAATATAAGTCACTTTTTTATGAATGTCATACCGTGTGATTGTTAGAATTTAATATATTTTATGTACATCTATGGCGTAATAAGCTTCAATTCATACAGTTTTTATTCCCCTTCTTTAACAGTAAACCAAAAAAATGGAAGAAAATTTTCAATATTAGCAATCAGTATAAAATGATTGTATTTCCAAACATTAAATACAAACGAAATTAAAATATTATAATTATAAATAACTAATATTTTAATACGCACATGCTAAATTTCACGAAAGAAACTTTTTGCGATTAAACAATATCTGTAAAATGCGCGCTTGTATGAGTCATGTAAAATGACTTTTGGATAGTATGTGAGAGACGCGATGCCCCAGTCTATATCCGTAAAGGCATATTGCCAAAGTGCCCGGGAAGCGTCACCTGAACACCGCGATTCAGTGACGCTTCAAAAATTCTTTTGAGATATGCCCATCGCGAGCTTCAAATATTTGCTTAAATCGTAAACAGAATGTTTTGACAAATAATTTTAAGTTCTTTTAATGTTGTGTTTTCTCTTTGTTAGCCATTGTTGGTATAGACTCTTTTAGAACTAACTAGTGACTCACCATCGCTTCGCTTGGGCTCGTCCTTAGCTTGCTTCGTAATACAAACTTTCATCCTCTTAATGGATGACTTCCGGGAAAATCCTATGTCCTTCCAAGGGTCTCAAACTATCTTCTTACCAATTTTCATCTAAATCGGTTCAGTAGATCCAGAGATTACCCCCTACAACGTCACAAACTCACAAACTTTACCTCTTAATAATGTTAGTATAGATATCGCCATGTAACGCTGTTCATATCATGTATAACTCTACTTATACATATAATTCTAAATATTATAATACAAAGAAAAAAGGAGGTTCATTCACAAAAAAACCCTTAACACAACAACCTATTCATTGAGGGTATTTCAATGAGCCTAAACATGATATCACTGCCGTATTTCAGTAAAGAGCTGAGTATCTTATAGATTCTACGTAGCTGAACAGATTTTCTTGATTTATAGCTAAAAACACTCTTGATTAAGTCAACTTTCAAACAAAAAAATAACTAAATGAAAATCGGTTTGTCCGTTTGTTCGTTAAGATACCACAGACAGACACACAGATACGCACGTTAAACTTATAACACCCTAACACTCTTTTTGTGTCGAGGGTAAAAATCATATATGAAGAATAGAAAGATTCCTAATCCGCATTTATAGAAATTTATGACGCTTATGCCTCAATCGCCTTTGTCAATTCTATTGTGTAGTTAAAGGGTGGTCCTCAATCTACATAAAGGAATTCTCCTAAGAGATATTGGTGTGAATAAACGGCCCCAGATTTTACTTCAAGTTTCTGAAATCTGAATTGCTGTCATCCATCATCTTCCTTAAAACTATTACCTAAAAAGTCTAAAAGCTAACAATCGAGTACTTGACGCACAAATATCTTATATCTATACATACCTACATACGAGTATAACAAAATTGTAACTAAGTCGAATATTGAAATAGACATTATTATCGATACAGAGGCCGAAACTATAGTTTATAGAATTTTTGTCTGTCTGTCTGTTACCGCATTACGGAAAAATCACTGGAGGGATTTTCATGAAATTTGGTATGATGATAGCTGGTTATCCGGGTCAACATATAGGATCCTTTTTACCGCGGGAAAATATCTCATTTCTGAGAAAAAATACAAAAACTGCATTGTAAGAGTATACTAATAAATAATATCCTAAACCTAAATATAAAACCTAAGAATTTGGTTTTTGATAATCTGAACGCGGGCGGAGTATGCTAGTTATTCTATAAGTTACTAATATAAATATACTATATATGTCTTACATATATTCTGTACAAAATATTAGCGTCTTATTTACTTTTGAATTAAATTAGCTGTTAAAATTCAATGCCGTTACTAAAATCCTCCTTTAGAGAATATAAGCCCTAATAAGTAAGTTGTGTCACAGTTACATGACAGTTAGGGAGAACGGTACAATGAATTCTAAAACAGTTTAGTAATATTAGAAGTGGTTTGGGACTATACAGTAGCGTTTTGTTAATTGATTTTGTACTCTTGTCGACCATCAATATAAACTATCCATTCCAATCATTCCGAGCAAGATAACTTGTTATATACTAAATTAAATGTACATGAAGACTATATGATGATGTTCTCCTAGCCGATTCCGGCCACGGCGGCCAATCTCAATGAGATTAGCCAACTGCGCAGGAGATATTATAGTGCTCAAGTGTACGCGCAGACACAAGTGCACTCTCTATTCCTATCACTCTCATACTCCGGTGGGACGACCACTCGACACGACCGGGGGGTGAAACACCGCCAACTTCCCAACTCCGGGGTGTTACTGAGACTTACTATACAGGAAGACTCAATAACTAAACTTGGCCCGACCCGGGACTCGAACCCAGGACCTCCGGGTGTGCAGCCGTACATGCTAACCACTACACCACCGAGGATGAAGACATATATATATACCTTGTATATGGCTAGAACTATTATAGCGATATAGGAACAGGAAAGTATAAATTGGATCAACTTAACCGTAGTGATTAATCACAACGATTGAACATTCTACGCAAGATACGCGTCATGTTCGTGAAAAATGTGCGAAAAAATTTATATATTAGCCGTAACCGCTTACATCTTTCACACAACTAAAGAGTATGATAAAGGAAAAATAAATAAACCTGTTTTATATATATATATATATATGTATATATATATATATATATATATATATATATATATATATATATATATATATATATATATATATATATATATATATCTTTTGCGTGATACTATTACATTAAAATTATTTGAGTTATATTTATTTAGATATGATTTTACAATGAATATATTATTTTATAACGATGGATATATTTTATATTATCCGAAAAGAACTAAAAGTTTAGACAAATATCTAACATATTGACCTAACCAAAGCGAGTTTAGTCAATTAAGCCAGTGACCAGCGGTCGAGTTATCAGCAAACCAAAAGCTGGACACTCTCGTGTTGATATTTGCTTGGCAAATAAATTGAGGATATAAGACTAAAAAATCTACAAAATACACAGTGCTTAATCTATGTATTTGTTTTTAATTCGAACAATGTTTTTATCTTTATATATATAATTCTTCTGTGAGTGTGTATGTCACTGAACTTCTCTCAAACGACTGGACCGATTTTGATGAAATTTTTTGTGTGTGTTCAAGGGGATCTGGGAATGGTTTAGATTCACAATTTGAATAATAATTTTCACAAAAAAAAAATTATTAAAAAAACTTTGAAATTTTCAAATTAAAGACGTGTAGACAGAACAACGTCTGTCGGGTCCGCTAGTATATCTATAAATAAATGTATTAAAACAATATGAAAACAGCTCATTGAATATTATGAAGGTAAAAAAGATCTTTAGATAATCATTAAAATTCCCACTTTAAGGGTTTCGTTCTAGTTTAAAAATAAATCTCGTGTTTCGGACCCATTTTTATATATTTTAATTTTTTTTATTAAGTGTAAAAATATGCTTATCACGTTCAACTTTTATGTATCGCTGTTACTTATTCCATCAACGACCGCAAACACGCCGGCGTTACAGTTAACAACATAGATGTCTTAGAAATTTAATTAATTTCTTAGAAATTTACCTGGAGGTGTTATATTACTTTAAAATCAATAAGAATGTTATTATTTAATATACTTATAATAATGAAATATGTAGGTAAATATTACCTACATATTTCATAGGGATTTTTAATATATACGTTACGTATATATATATACGTTGATAATACCATAATCATAAAAAAACTTAGAATACAATATATACATAAACATATGTAGCACCAAAGAGCAAATATGTAATAAATATGACCCGAAACAGAGCGATCAATATAGGGTATGTAACATATCCACGATCTATGCATCGCTGACGATAAGAACAGATGGATAAAATCCAAAGGGTCCAGGAATTCGCCCGAGGACACGACCCATGCGAGTCAAATTCATGTGAATGAATTGGACCAAATGATACTAAAATATAACAACTACTGTAGCAGTTACAAAAAGAAAAATAACCAGTTATTTCTACTTTTTTACCGAATTCAAAAAGAAGCGGATACTTAATTATTTTTATCCCATTTTAATTTAAATGATATTTTGGCTAATTTTGAATCATATTTTTTTTAAAGAATAAGCATATAGGTAATAAATAATAATACCTCAAAATACCACACATCAATAAAAAAAAATACACATCCTAAGTATGGACTACCTAGTTTTAAATGATTTTAAAGTAGGTATACTTTTTATAGAAAAATGAATTCTCCGTTAGATATACATATGTGCTTGAATAAGTTTTCGTAATGTTCAATATTTATTATTATTAACTAGCGACTCACCTTCGGTCCACTCGGGTTCGTCCCTGGATATTTTAACGGTTAGTATAAATTTCTCAGAGATGAGATATTTTCCCGCAGTAAAAAGTATCCTCCTATATTATGTTGATTCGGAATAGTTCTTTGAAAAATTCATTAAAATCCCTCCAGTAGTTTTTCCGTGATGCGGTCACAGACAGATAGACAGACAAAAATTCTAAAAACTATAAATTCGGCCTTTGTATCGATAATAATGAAAATGAAAAAAATATTTAATGTACAAATTCGGCTCAGAATTTTATTATATGTGTAGATTTTAATAAATTATTTTTACATTATTAAAACATAACATTTTATTGTCAGCTATGGGTAGTAATATTCTACGTTGAATATCGAGATAAAATTTTATTAACAACTCTCGTTTTACTATTATAAACTCGTTTTACAGTTTATATGGAGAAATATTGACACACTCACTATACAATTCTCTAGACTCAGATCAGAAGCTTTAAGATAACGAACTGAATATAAAACAAAAATATAATATACTATGTACACGTATCTTTATTTCTTTTTCATTAAATAAAGTAATGGAACGCTACGTTCAATAAGAGCTTCAGTCGTGCTTTATCTCACTCATGAATCTTTTTCAATATCAAAAATTCCAGAGTATAAATAATATTTGATTTTTTTTTGAAATGTTCACCTAATTAATAAATTAATTATTAAAAACTAAAAATATACCTGTTTAGTTTTCAAGTAGATACTATATTAAAATCTAATATATATGATACATATTATGTTATGTAATAAAATTCAGTACTCCGACCCAACCTTGTACAGTGTAATAAAAAATAATATTGAATATTCCAAAATAAAATGAAATCATTTTAGTTAATTTAAGAAGCTTTATAAAGATTAAAAAAAGTAAACTAAATATCTTAATTGATTTAATATAAAAAATATATACTTTTGCTGACTTTGATTAGTAATTTGGCTAATAATTCGGCTCTTTGTTTCCACGAAACAGGCCCTCCATCAACCGTCGTAAAGACTTTAAAAACGTAGTATTATAATTTTAATCCTGTATATTTATTTGTTCATTCATAGTTAATATGAATAAAAAGCTTTTAATATAAAAAAAAAGTTTGGAAAATCCAAAAGAATTCTTCAAATTCTAAGTCGTTTTTAAATAAGTTAGTTTATAAATAACATAACAAATGCAAATTGTTTATCTATCTCAGAATAAATTTAAGGTAATTTGTTTTTTTAATTATACAACTCCGTAATAAAACTAATAGATAGAGGGAAATTTATTCATGTGTCGTTTCAAAGACAAGAAAGTTTATGATAATAATAATCTATAGTGAACGTTAAATTCTGTCAATCATTTAAAATTTCATGTACATATCTGCAATTTGAAATTTTGCACTCTATATATTAGGTACGATGAGATTAAAAGCATAAACATTAAAAGGTATTTTTTTCCAATCGTAGCAGAAGTATATTGTAAGCGCCATCTGTTATTTGTTAACAGACTCACCTAGTTTCGGAGCCGACGACGGTCCAGCCACGCCGGCGGCGTATCGCGCGGACTTCAGCTGAAACCACGCGATCGCGTGTTCGTCGATGTCTGGCATTAGCCGCTAATAGAGCAATAGCGCCCTCTTCCAATTCAGCGATCGGCAACATTTCAAAATGCCTTTGCAACTCGTCTTTCAGTAAATGTTTTGTAAAATCTTTAGATGGCGTCACTGTTCACAATTACTGTCACATTTTCGATTGAACAAAATTTTGTTATAAAGAAAAACACTTTTCACTAGAAACAGTAAATTTTTCATTGTAATTAAAGCCTTAGTTACGTTATAATAATTATTATTGGGTTTTAGTAATTTGTTTTATGTGTATTAAAGTGTAAAAATAACGAAATGAGTCAAAAACAATTTATAGTATACTAGCATTGCTCGCGGCTCCGCCCGCGTTCAAATGACAAAAAACCAAATTCTTAGGTTTTACATATTAGTATACTCTTACATTGCAGTTTTTGTATTTTTTCTCAGAAATGAGATATTTTCCCGCGGTAAAAAGTATCCTATATGTTGACCCGGATATCCAACTATCATCATACCACATTTCATCAAAATCTGTCAAGTGGTTTTCTCGTGATGCGGTAACAGACAGACAGACAGACAGACAAAAATTCTAAAAACTATAGATTCGGACTCTGTATCGATGATAATGTCTATTTCAATGAGATTTTCCAAAAAATATTTAATGTACAGATTCGACTTAGTTACAATTTTATTACATGTATAGATTTAGGCGATCCAAATTTTTGAATGATACAAAAATGACCTTAAAGTTACGTTCCAATTTTTGCGTACACAAAAATAAATATAAAGATGTAATTAATAATAATGTCCCAGTTCAAGTTCTATTTCAGTCTTCAGTAATAAAAACAATTTTATTTGTGCCAACAATTAGCTACAAATTGACAAATGGTTGTATGAACTAATTGAAGAAAACTTTCGCGTAAATAAAGAGTTATGTTATTTTTATTTTTTACAGTATACTAGCATTGCCCGCGGCTCCGCTCGCGTTCAGATGACCAAAAACCAAATTCTTAGCCTTTACATATTAGTATACTCTTACATTGCAGTTTTTGTATTTTTTCTTATAAATGAGATATTTACCCGCGGTAAAAAGTATCCTATATGTTGACCCGGATAACCAGCTACCATCATACCAAATTTCATCAAAATCTGTCCAGTGGTTTTTCTATGATGCAGTAAGTAACAGACAGACAGACAAAAATTCTAAAAACTATGGATTCGGCCTTTGTATCGCTTATAATGTTTATTTTAATAAGATTTTAGTTACAACCTATACATATAATAAAATTCTTACTGAATCTAAAAAATCTAAAAATATCTCATTTCTGAGAAAAAAATACAAAAACTGCTATGTAAGAGTATACTAATATGTAAAACCTAAGAATTTGGTTTTTGGTCATCTGAACGCGGTCGGAGCCGCGGGAAATTCTAGTTTTATCATATTATGTATAGATTTACAAAATAGAAATTATAATAAAATTTGCAAAAGTAAACAAAGTACCTATACCATTATGAATTAAATATATCAATAACTTTTTTTTAATGTGAAACATATACATAAACATATATTTCATTATAAACATTATATCACAATATGTTAATTTTAAGTAATTTAATTTAAAATCTATTAATCTTAATTATTTTTGACAATAATGAGACGTGATTTCTTTGTATAAAAACTGACCAGATATAAAATAAACCATTTTGGTTTGCACATTTTTATTATTCTGTAGTTCGCTATAACCCGTGAGCAATCTATTCCCAAATCATATCATGAAGTGTTCAAAGCGTAGTTTATTTGAAGGAGCTGAAAATTTCTATAGAAAAAGTGACAGTGAATAAATTTTCGCACTAGATGTGTACATGCTACTGAAATTCGTAAAGTATTATATTTTAAAATATAATATACCTTTTAATATTTTTTTTATTATACAAGTTTTATTAAGATATAAGTAAAACAATATAAATCTGCACGTTTAATTAATTGCATTTTTTGATAGCAACACTTATTACAAAAGCTGTTTATGTATTAATTTATAATTATTTTCAATTATATATAATGTTTAAATGAATATATATTTATAATTAAAGTTTTATTGCACTCACGTAACAGGCTTTAATTACTAAACCTCTTATTTATCATTAGAATCAATCACTATAAATCACCAAATAGTCCACTGTTACATCACACAGTCTACCCATTAATATAAAAATCACTAAAATAAGATGGGCGTCGATAAATTTCTTTTAATTTTACGTAAGCAGAAAAAAAAGAGTATAGTACTTATACTCGATATAATTTTGATTCGATGGAAGTTATATTGGCTAGCGCGTGGTGCGGACTGCGCGTGCGTCTTGGCGCGTAAACTACAGACTAGCGCCGGCGAGCAAAGGCGTTGACACATTGTCTTCACAAATCTACATTAAATTAAAAAAAAAAAAAGATAATATATGAAGGTAACTTACTGTCTGTCATTATTTATCTGACTCATTCGCCAAAAATGCAATAATTAGGCAAACCTGCTTGTATGTATTGTAAACGAGATCATGATAAATTTATAGCAAAAAATTTCTAGATAAATCTATGAAGTAGCTTTTAAAGAATGTACAAAGTATAGATCAGCAAACTATCTTTCAAAGATTGTGATCTTTGATAGAAAATAAATTGAGGTTGCAAAAATTCAACGACGCGCGACAGAGAGAAAAGAATTCTTTAGCGACGGCCTCCGGGCGAACGTTCAGAATACACGATGAGGGGCAATTCAGATACATCTATTAAATGTATGAATTGCGCCTACGAAATTCTTAAAATTACTACCATATTGTAAAACAAACATAAAAATGATTGGAAAATGAACGCCTTAACGACTCATTACTTATATAGCTGTTCTAAACAAAAATAACTCACGAAAAACAAATCGTAATGTTATTATACTTAGAAAATGTTTGAAACTACCTAATTTCAATATATAGCATAGTTTTATAAATATTGAAGTTGTGAATATAATATTCAATAGCGTCTACGTGCGGAGTATTTACGTTCAACAGAGGATAAGAATAGCCTGTGGCAGAGTTTCAAATATGTCGCACTGTCCTACACTTCATCTCTCTTATTTCTCATAATATCATAATCAGTTTTGTACTTATGTACATGTAATATTTATGATACACCATTAAACTTTTATAAAGCTATTCAGCTGTAGAATTAAATAATACAATGAATGAAGAAAATTCTCATATTATTCTTTCTTTATACAGAAATTATTTTACATTGATTCATATAATTTTTATTATAAATATGTATGTATATTGTATAAGTATATGTATTGTATCCGTACTATCCATACTAATATTATAAATGTGAAAGTGTTTGTTTGTGTGTTTGTTTGTCTTTCTTTCACATCGAAACGGAGTAACGGATTGGCGTGATTTTTGGTGTAAAGATAGTTAGAGAGCTGGATTGACACAGGCTATTTTTTATCGAGGGAAATCATATCATTGCATCGGGAAAACACACACTATTCAAAAATTTATTTCTGAATGAATTACTTGAAACTTGGTATTAATGCTCTTCAAAATAAACAAATAAATATGTGTTTAGCATTTTTTGAAATTCATCATATAAGGGTGTAAAATAGGGGATGAAAGTTTGTATGAAACTACCTTTTTAGATTTTTTGTAGTTTTAGCTCGAGCGAAGCCGCGGATTCTGCTAGTTTTAATATAACGTTTCACGCTAAGAAGTATTTTTTAAATATCTTTATAAATCAGGGGTCTTAAAAGAGGAGAAAAATATTTCAAATGATAAATGGATTCTGAATCAAAGCTTCTTTATTAAAAAGCCAGTATGAAAACAGCCTACAGTGTTGTTATTAAAAATATATTTAGTTGAACTTTAGAAGGCATATGACTTGCAAAGAATTATACGACAAAGAAACAATTATTTTCAGTACAGTTCTAAGATTCCTAGTAAAAACATTTTTTGTATAAAGTCTAATTAAACCTGTTGAGAAAGAAAATTTTGGTGACCTAGCTCATTTTATTTTTAAAGCTACAACGCAGTAGCAGAATTTATGAAGAAGAAAAATAACTTTCAAGTAAATCCAAAACATCTAGGCAAAGTTTGTTCTATTACAATAATTAAAAAAAAAATATACATTCTCTAGCGCACGTAGTTGTATAAAAAATGTAGAATGACAATACATAATTTAATACTTACATGATATTCTAAATTTAATCGACAACGGCCGTTACCTATTATTTACGCCTGGGATATTTAGGGTCCTTGGGAAAACTTACATTCAAGCGGCTGAGCCTTCAAATCTATACAAATGCCCCATATACCTAGTACAGTATGAAGATTAAAGTTTATAAAAGTATTTAATATTATTAATATAAAAAACAAATTATATCACGTAATATGTAATAAAACTATGTTATCGGATTTTTTCGCCGTAATATTCGCGTAAATCGAAGAAGGTATTACTAAATATGGAGCTTACCGCGACTTACTCCTATATCTGATATATATATATATATATATATATATATATATATATATATATATATATATATATATATGACTTTCTCTAGTAACTACTCTAAAGCATATTACCGCTGTGGCGTGGTGTCGCATATATTTGAATATCTGTAGATTACAAAAAGTATAATAACGTGACACGCCTAAAAGCCAATACAAAAGAATCTTTGCACTAGAGACCTCTTGTTATTTTTTGCCAAAACACTAACGAAGAGTTTTAATAGAGTTAACATTACCGATGTCGCATAACAAATATATATATATATATATATATATATATATATATATATATATATATATATAACATATATATATACCTGTTTGTCAGTCACACCACTAAGGTACAAATGTAAAAGAGCCACTTTACACGATAGTGAATCGACATAAATTTTATGACAAAAAGTTTTTAAGAGGCGGGAGTTCAGCGTGAAATCTTATTCGTAATACTATTTAGAATTAAAAGACAAAATATAATTAAATTAACTCCAAAAATCGGCATATCACTTGCCAGAGTCCCATTAATATAATTTGATGCAAACT